CTGCAGGTCCTCTGGTTGCCCCACCACCCACCATGCCCAGGCTGCAGGTCCTCTGGTTGCCCCACCACCCACCATGCCCAGCCTGCAGGTCCTCTGGTTGCCCCACCACCCACCATGCCCAGCCTGCAGGTCCTCTGGTCGCCCCACCACCCACCATGCCCAGCCTGCAGGTCGTCTGGTCGCCCCACCACCCACCATGCCCAGCCAGCAGGTCCTCTGGTTGCCCCACCACCCACCATGCCCAGCGTGTTGCCCAGCCTGCAGGTCCTCTGGTTGCTGAGGCCCGCCAAGGCCCCGACGCAGCAGAGGGAGGCCGCCAGGTAGGCCATCTGATGGCTCTCAGGGTAGCCGGCAGCGGCGGTGGCCCCGTAGCCCCCCAGCAGCGCCAGCGCCGGGATGCCGTACAGGTAGTTGTGCTCGGGAGGGTCCGATGGTCTGCAGGAGATAATTGTTTACTGGGGATATAAGTACAATGATTACACTTATATATGTTCATATACATACACAAATGACATAATAATAATTATGTTCAACATAAGGAATAATATTCAGAGCACTTACGCAATCAAATATTATGCATGTCCAACATGCGTCACACATGACACACCTCCTGAACATGTCCAACATGCGCTGGGTGACGATGAAGCCCCCGAAGATGTTGATGAAGGAGACGAAGGCGGCGGACGCGGCGAGCCCCTCGATGATGTTGGTGGGGTAGTAGCCGCCCCCCATCAGCAGCAGTCCGCCCACCGCCGTGATGCCTACGATGCAACATTATTTAACATTTAACATTAACATCACGTATTATTTAACATTAATATAGTAGTAGCTGCCCCCCATCAGCAGCATGCCTGGTTAGTTCTTATTATATTATTATTGAATATTATTAATATTAACCCACCAACTAACAATATTATTTGTTAGTTCTTCTCTTACATTATTTTTATTTCATTACGTAATTGGATTGGATAGACTCAAAGATAGGCCTCCAGACCTGTATCAAGACTAAATCAGATCATAAGTAATGTAGAATGTAAAATTTGCAAGCACTTGATTTTACATCATGTATATCTGAAAATACCGCGAGAAGATGATGTTTGCATCACAACATTATTTGTTAGTTCTTCTCTTACATTATTTAATATTGACTTCATTTTAGATTATTTAATTTTGAGTACATTGGATTAAGCTAAACCTGGACCTCCAGGCTTATATCAAGATTATACCTGATGATAAGAAATGTTGAATGTAATGTCTGCAAGCACTCCATACCTGTCTCTNGATGAACATCTTCATTTCAATATTAATTATAATATATAGTAATATATTATAATTAATAGTATAGAATTATTGCAAGAAGTTATATAAGTTAATATAGAATATATCAAGTCCCCACCTGAGGTGTAGAGGAGGGAGTCCTTGAGTGTGAGGGCGAAGTAGTCTGGCGGGGGCGGCGCCACCTTCTGGGGGGCGGCGGCGGCGGCCACCGCCCCGGGGGCGGGTGTGGGGGGCGGCGGTGGCGGGTACAGCAGCGTGCCGTTCTGCCCGCCATATAATACGCTATAAGACACACCCCACCTCCCAGCTGGTCAACACGCAAGGACACTTTACCCTGACTATACAAATATACATCACCTGCTATACACCAACACACAGAAACTAACACAACACTTGGTGTGGCAAGCCACCTCCCGACAACCATCACCTGCTAACCGTTTCACCCACCACCTGACCCCCCTTACCTACCTGGGTGACGATGCTGCCGCGGACGACCTCGTCCTCCAGGTTGACGTGCAGATGGTCCTTGTCGCCGATGGACAGCAGGAACTTGCTGATGTTATTGCCGTACCTGCGGGCGATGATGGCCTCGTGAGTCATACATCATGGCCTCATGAACATGTCACACATCATAGCCTCATGAGCGTGTCCTACATCATGGCCTCATGAGTATGACCTACATCGGCACATGGGGCCTGCATCAAGGACCTCCAAAGGAGGACCAACCTCAAGTCCCTTTACTTCAAGACCTGCCCTTAAGGGAACAAGTCCTACACATCCTACATGGTGGGGATTCATCACGCGCATAATCTTAGACACTGCAGCTAATATCTGGTCCCCCGTAGTATCCCAAGGGTTTGAGCCCCACAAGGGGGGGCCTCCAAACCACCCAAAATTTGGCCCCTAATTTTAGCCGCTGGAGGTCTCAAAATGAGTCCAGCCACCTCAACACTGAGAAAAGCGTCCTACCTTCGTCCACTCACCTAGACCAGGCATGCGCTCAGTTCTTTGCCTTCAGCAACCCATACTTCCTCCCATATCGTCTCTGCCCCCCAGGTGACCGGCCTATGAAAGCTTTCCTCATGACGAGATTGGGCCACCGTGTGGAGCCCCTCCTAATGAGTGGCATTTTTCCCGCAGGATCCTACAAGGAGTTGAAGTGATCCCTTCGCTGGAAGATCTCCAACCGCGTTACTCAGACCATCAAGATGAACAGAGATCTGGTCGCACCCCTCACCCTTCCGATTGCCTGTGAAAATGCTTTCTTCCCCCAGCAGTCCTTTGCATCTCCTACATCCATGATGTTCACCCAGCGCCATCTGTCCAGAGTCAGGTGTTCTCTTCCAGAATGTCCAGCATTATCTCACCTGCCCCTCCTTCCCCACGAGCCCTAGCATCTCCTCACCGGAGGACAGGTCCGTGGAGGCCACGGCCTACCAGACCACCCTCCTCCTTGCCTTAGCCCATCCCCCCCTCTTCCGACGACCCTAGCCCTACACCGAAGAAGCTTCTCCAGGGGTGCTTGGAACAACAGCACGGCAAGGACCCAAAATCGGGGAGGACCCAAAATCTACGAGAATCCAAAATCTACAAGGACCCAAAATCTACGAGAATCCAAAATCTACAAGGACCCAAAATCGGGGAGGACTCAAAATCTACAAGAACCCAAAATCTACATGGACCCAAAATCTACAAGAACCCAAAATCTACAAAGACCCAAAATCTACGAGGACCCAAAATCTACAAAGACACAAAATCTACAAAGACCCAAAATCTACGAGGACCCAAAATCTACAAAGACACAAAATCTACAAGGACCCAAAATCTATGAGGACCCAAAATCTTCAAGGACCCAAAATCTATGAGGACCCAAAATTTACGCAGACCCAAAATCTATGAGGACCCAAAATCTATGAGGACCCAAAATCTATGAGGACCCAAAATCTACGCAGGCCCAAAATCTATGAGGACCCAAAATCTACACTCACAGCGTAGAAGCCTGTGTGGGGAGGCGTGAGGGAAGGTCGGTAAGCCCCACGTGTGTGACGCCCTTGTACTCGTACACCTCCCCAGGTCTCGTGGTCTCGATGTTTCCCCCAGCCTCAGCCGCCAGGTCCACCACCACAGACCCAGGCTTCATCGACTCGATGTGCTCCTGCGATGTGAACCATGGAATATAAACTAAAAAACTGCATTGTAACACATCCACGTAACATTTCTTCTCGCTTCGAATCACCGACATGTTGAACAGCCTCCCGAATGACATCGTTGGCGCTCCAAGTAGGAACGCGTTCAAGAACAGACTAGATAGATCTATGGAGAAATATATGTTCAGACTTGAAATGCCTAGCACCATATCGAACCCGGTGGAAGTCTAGTAGCTACTTCAAACTATTGTCAGTCATGAAAAGATCCGATCAAATGACACGATATTAGATCTTCTGTGAACAAGGCACAAAAAGGAAAAGAATCGGCGACAGGCCACATCAGGCCTACACTGCAGCGCCGAGATCACTATGTTATGTTATGGAGATTATTGTGCACCATAGTGTGAAGATGGTGATTACTGGGCATCATAGTGTGATGANATAGGCTCTCACACCATCTACCTCCATCACTATAGGCTCTCACACCATCTACCTCCATCACTATAGGCTCTCACACCATCTACCTCCATCACTATAGGCTCTCACACCATCTACCTCCATCACTATAGGCTCTCACACCATCTACCTCCATCACTATAGGCTCTCACACCATCTACCTCCATCACTATAGGCTCTCACACCATCTACCTCCATCACTATAGGCTCTCACACCATCTACCTCCATCACTATAGGCTCCACCATCACCCTCATCAGTAGTGTCTCCACCATCACAAGAGGCTCCCACCTCAGCACCTTCTCGTCAAAACGCCTCTCCATCAGTATCGGCTGCCCATCACCCCTATGTCCGGTGTCAACCTGGCGTCTCATTATATTCACATTTCACAATAATTATGTCATCTATATTCATTATAATTATACTTAAAGATTATATCATAAGTAATTGAGACGTAATATTCATTAGACGTGATAGAGATTGATGGAAAAGTACTAGACCTGAGTCAGTATGCACAACATCTCGGGATAGATCAAGCGATCAGGACCTCAGTAGTGGGCGGGAGCCGTGACTATATAAGGGCTGGGAACCTTAGTAAGCTGACAAGTACGCACACCTTGATGTAACTAGCGTTAGAACTACTCAGACCTAACAGTCGACGTCTTAGCTTACCCGAACTGTATTACTTGTGTATCACCACCTCGTATACTATACTGTATCACTCATGTATAACCCCCACCCTGTATCAAGATAAGTTATCTTGGCAGATGGTGTTTTGCGTAGGTGGTATCCCTCACGCACTTAGTCAACGAGTCCCTGTCCCCAGGTACAGGTAGAAATATTTACATTGTCAGGTGGCGCATAAATCTGGCTTAAGGACGATAGCGGCCCCCATCCTCAGTAGCGGCTCCCACATCACTGCAGGCTCCCAACCACCCTTCTAAATATAGGCACCCACATCATCCCCCCATCAGTATAGGCTCACCTTACCTTATGACCTTATGATGAGTTTAGGACGTCGCAGTCCACGGTCACGCTGATGCGCCGCCTTCGTCGTCCTCCATCTCCGAGTCGTCGTCGGATGTAACGTTGGACGTGTTCCGTCTATTAGCCCTCATTTGGGCACGCTGATGCAAGATGCTGTTGCTTGTCGCTTGCTGATGGTAGTTTCCCATAACTGGACAGTCCGGGATCTGTCTCTTATACACATCTAGTTGTCTCTTGAATGTTGCAAGGGTAAACTCCCCTCCTCTCAGCTCTTTTNGGCAGGGGGTGGTGTTACAATCAGTAGCAGCTCAGCAAACACCCTAATCCCCCATCAGTAGCTGCACCCCCCACCAATATAGGCTCCCACATCGTCTACCCCCATCACTATAGGCTCCCACATCACCCTCCACCAGTAGTGTCTCTACCATCACAAGAGGCCCCTACATCATCACCTTCTCGTCAATAGCGGCCCTCCATCACACCCCCCATGTCTGGTGTCAATCTGGCGTCTCATTATATTCATTACAATTATATTATTTATATTCGTTAAAACTATATTATATGCTTAGATCATATGTATTGAGACGTAATATTCACTAGACGTTATAGAGATTGATAGGAAAGTACTAGACCTGAGTGAGCGTCTGGACAACATCACGTGACACATCACGTGATCAGGGGCCATGCTTTCAAAACTCGCTAAGTGAACGAAAGTACTTACGCTCTATTTTCTTGTCTATGATTGGTGGATTTTGCTTGAAAGGCCGTCAGTGATTGGCTGATGAACTTACGATCTCTTAACTTTTTTTGAAAGTATAGGCCCAGGTCCTCAGTAGTGGGCGGAAGACGTGACTATATAAAAGCGCTGCAAACTTTAGTAACGCCCCGAATTAACTGACGAACACGCCGCAATATAACTAGCGTTAGAGCTACTCCGACCTAACGGACGACGTCTTAGCTTTACCTATACTGTATTACTTGTGTATTACCACCCCGTATACTGTACTGTAACTCCCACATAACCCCCCGTATTTAGACAAGTAATTAAGACAGATTGTGTCTTACTTATCCCTGACGCACCTAAAACAAATCTTTCTCCTTAGGTTCAGGTAGAACAAATAAGTCTGGTGGCTTATAAAACTGGCTCAAGGACGGTAGCACTAGCAGCTCCCATATCACCCACCATCACTACAGGTTCCCACATCACCCCCATCACCACATCATCACCCCCATCACATCACCCCCCCACCATCATCACAGGCTCACCAAACACCGTCATCTTCTTGTCGATGAAGGCCCTGATGAGGTCAGCGTTCTGCGCAGGGTAGATGAAGGACGCCAACATCGCACCGTCCTTAAAGTGGCCCACCTCCTGCACGCTGGGCTGCCGCACCTTCAGCACCACGTCTGGGGGGTTATAGGGGGTCACTGGGTGTAACTAGGGGTTAGGACCCCGCATCATCAGGCAAACTGTAATAAATCTCAGAATTTTTCCAGCTTGGCAGGGTTCGAACCCGAGACTCACTGCTCTACTCATAATGCCGTTGGACCTCTTGGCCCACTGCATCACCCACCTCACCCTGACCCGCTTGCCCCACCACCTGACCCACTTGCCGCGCCATTGACCCACTTACCCCACCACCTGACCCACTTGCCCCACCACCTGACCCACTTGCCCCACCACCCAACCCACTTGCCCCACCACCTGACCCACTTGCCCCACCACCTGACCCACTTGCCCCACCACCTGACCCACTTG